TACAGATCCTGAGAGAATCGGGGGACACAGCCTTGTGCAGCCAAACCTGGGGGGGGTGGTCTGCAGAACCCATTGGTGCACTCCAGACCATAAGAGTATTACAGTAGTGACATCTTGGAGCTTGGTTCATCTTGTGATAGTTAAAGGGGAATATATAAAGAAAAAAAGCAACAGAAGTCTTGTTTCTGCCTCTCTGAGGCAAGCAGTAGATGCACATTATTTGCATCCAAAGATCCAGGAATAAACTCACAGGCCAGTAGTGTATGCAGGCATTGGCTACTTTGACAAACACTAGAAGAGATGTTCAGGATACACCTTCCCCATTTCCACACTCTGTTCCCTGGACATCAACAACACTGATCAGTAACAGGAGCTTGTTCTGTTAGATAAAAAACTTACTGTTTCTCTTTCAGTGGTATGATTTCAGAATTCCTGTCTCATGTGAGTTGGGAATACAGAAAGAATTACTGCAAAGTAGTGCTGATAAATCCATGTCTGCACTGGATGTGAGGGTCACAGGTGAAACAATCTCTCTTTGCAGGGTAGGAAAAATGCAGCAGTTGAGCTGTGAGAAGTGAGAGGATAGCACTAAGTCAGTAGATAACAAATCCTGGACAACTGACAGATGGATGTCATTGCCTTCAAGAAATACCAGGCAGGATACTTTAAAAGTTCAGGTAGATGAGTTATCTGTCCCACATGAGAAGTTTCTACTCAAGTATCATCTTTCAGTTATCATAACACAAAAAAACCCACACACCTTAGTACTATGGAGTTGCTTGAATATACATATTTTCCAGTATTTAATTATTTTCTGCTGAAATGTCTACCATTCTTCAGTGAGTTGTCTCTAACTTCATAAGTTAATGAAGCTTATTATGAAATTATTATTGCAGCTCTAGTTTGGTTAGTTCTGTGGTCTGGAGAAAAAGTGTCCATGTGTTAACCTTTTTCCTTTCTGATAAATAAACTTCTAATGTTTATCTGCCATTTCTTAAGTATGTCTAAGTCTGGTAGTGTTGCAGTGTTATTTCACTGATGATGAGTTTCAGTTAAGCAGCAACAGACAGGGGTAAAACATTTAGAAGTTAGTGGGGGTTGAATTAAGTATTCAGAAGGTTGTGGAATGTAGTAATAATAGCTAGACTATTTTCAGCTAAAATTTAATAAGCTTTTTTGTTGAATTTCAGCATCGTTAGTATTTTAAAAGTCTTTTTTAAAGGCACTTTAAAAGAATACTTCCCTGATAAAAATAAAATGAATAGGGGTTTTTTTCCTCATTGTTTTCAGTAGATATATTAGTATAATTTGGTTTATCTTTGGAAAAATAAGAATCTGAAGAATGCTGCATGAAGAGGTATTCTGTGGTTATGAAATTATTCTGTCAGACTGCAGCTTCTTTTGTTCCCTAGCATGAAATATTTGGTTATTGAATGACTGTTTAAGAAAGCAGAAAGACCTATTTAAGAACACAAAATGCAGGGTTGAAAAGTAAGTTCTCTTTTTCTATAAAACTAAATATTTCTTGAAGGGTAAGCATGTCAAAATGCATTTTAGTAATGTACATTACCTACAAAATATGTTGTAACACTTTTCCACCTACAAAACTTAAAGATTCTAATAAACTTATTAATTACCTGGAAGGGTAAGTCTGGTATTTTACCAAGTCTGCTGGTAGAACACAGGGAGATTTAAAGTGTGTTTCAGAGAGTACCTGCATCAAAGTAATTCTTCTGATTAATGTGGTGATTGTTCCTAGTACTGTGTTTAGGATTTACTCTTCTTTTTGTCCTTCCCTACTTTAAATAAAATTTGCAGTTGGTGGGCAGAAGTTGTATGTGAGACTTTTTCAACGCAAGCTGAACTGGTTAAAGGTGAACAAAATAGAGTATGGGGAGATAAGTGTGGATTTGTCACCAATAATTGAAGAACTAGCCGAAGCCAGATTTCTACAAACAGGTAAGGCTTATAAAACAGTATTTCTACAAACAGGTAAAGTTAATAAACCTTTAAAATACTACAAATAAAATCTGAAGTTGTATCCTGTTAGAGATCAATTCACTATATGCTTGACTGTGCCTTGGGAAGAGAATAGAGGAGCAGAATAAAGGCTTCAGGTAGATGAGTGGTCTTGTAAAAATACAAATAGTGCAAATTAGATAATAGAGAAGAACAGTTTTACTAAACAGCATTATTTTTATAACTCAAGAGAATTTTTAAATCTTTGCAGTTGTTTTGAAGTTGTAAAGGGTGTTCTTTTCTTGATGATTCCATTCCTTCAAAGTAGACCTGTGAAAAGATCCAGAAGGTGCAGAAGAATTTCAGGGTGAACCAGATAGCATTGTTAATACATTTTTTAAGAACCTGATGGCTATATAATTTAGGTCAAAGTTACAAGGTGATAATATAGCTTGAATTATAAGATATCAATGTAGCTTGATAAATCTGTATAACCTAATATCAGTATTATATCAATCTGATATCAATATAACCTAAATCATGACTTTTTATATATCTATATAACCTGACATCAGTATAACCTGAATCATAATTTTTATACCTATATAACCTGGATCATAGCTTTTTATACCTATACAACCTGAATTATAACTTTCCTACCTATATAACCTGATATAAATAACTTTCTATACAATGTAATGTATGTATATGTATATGGTTAACTAGTTGCTTAAGGTTGAATAGACAAATAAAAAGACAAAACTCACCAGGTGGATAGTTTCAGAGATCTGTAAGTATAGTACTAATGAGAAATTGGCAAATGTAAAGCAAATTAGCCACAAAATAAAGAATTTAGGCTGCATAGGACCAGACAGACCCAGGAACGCTGTAACTGCTCCAAAGACACAGTTGAAAAGTTCAGATGTGAAGAAGACCTTGGGAGCCTTCATCAAAGACCCTGACTACCCCCGAACTGGGGAGGTGCAGGCACAGTGCAAAAGAGCTCTATAACAACCATGAGCTTATAGAATGTGAATTAGTTCCCCCTGGTATGTGCTGATGTTGTAACTTGTTACAACAAGTTGTACAACAACTGTTGTAACAGTAACAGTGAGCAATACTTGCTGTAAAAATATACCACAGCACTTGACAAAGGTGGGTGAGTTAGGAGGAGATATCCCCTCACCACCAGCTCTGCAATAAATAAATACCTGCTCTATAGACACGGGTCTGTCAAGTTTTATTTCCAGCCTATCTTTCGGGCATCAAACCTAAATCATTAGATTAGTACTGGGTGGTATGAATGTACAAGCTGTTGCTTGAGTGTATGTGTATAACACAATGAATATATGTGGATAATTTTACTTTTAGAATCTGAATTGGAAGACCTGTGTGAAGGGTTGGATTTGCTTTCAGCCCCTGAGCTAAAAACTCTGGCAAAAATCTTTCACTTGCCAAACCCAAATGGTCAGAAACAGCAACTTGTGGATGATCTTCTGAAGTTGTCAAAGCAGCGTTCGATCTTCAGCAGGAGTCAGGCTGGTATTGGGACAGTGATTTTAAAAAGGTAAATCTTTACAGTTGAATTTTGCAGGTGAATAGAAGTTGTGCTTTAAGTGACTGAAATCTAGATGCCTTTTCAAGAAAGGAATGTATTTAGTAAAATTATTAATAAAAGGGTGGCATTATATTTCAATTCACAGTGAGTCAAAGAGAAGGGTGAATACTTACCTGCATAATCTCTCTCTGCTTCTTTCAAGGAAAATCAAGTTTATGCATTAATTGTCTTGAAAAAAAGTTACACTTCTTTCAGTATATTTCAGTTTTTACAAGTCACTGTAAAAACCATTTTTATTTGTCCTTCCAGGGTGAAGGACCTGGCTGGAAAATGTGTCAGGGTCTGCAAAGGTGCTCGGGCTGTCTTTTCCCGAATCCTGCTGCTGTTTTCACTGCCTGAATCACTGGAGGAGGAAGAAGCTGGCAGTGCTGGGCAAGGCCTGCTCTCCACAGTCCTGAGGGCAAACATGGGGCATATGGTGTTCCCCAGTTACACAGTAAACAGGAAAACACAGGTCTTCCAGGACAGAGAGGATCTCATCAGGTACGGAGAGCTTTGGAAACCTGGAAATGTGTTCATTTCTAGAAAAGCTTTACTGCAGCACTTGTGCAGGCAAATAAGAATTCATTATAGAACTCCAGATATAAATCTGTAGAAGTGTTAATTTTGCAATTATTTTAAGTACATTTTTGTATCAAGGTAGGACTTGTAATTCACAGTGGCTTGCACTTGGAAACAAAATTGCTTATTTATTTGCTGTATGATCATGTGATGAAAGCTGTTTCTTCATTTGCTGTGCTGATTTTGAGCTAAACAAAAATTATATTCTCTAGTGTTAAGTAAATTTAAACATAATGTGCCCTGCTAGTTTAAACTTTGCTAATCCTACAAGATTAAGAGTAAAGATGGCTTCACGGTTCAATGTCTTTGGAGACTGGAAGGGAAACAACTTATTTCTTTCAACTGTAGATGCTTTTTAAGCATAATAAAGTTGTAGGTTTTTACCACAGGTATGCAACTGCTGTTCATCTGTCAAATGATATAGCCACTGCAATGGTAAATGGGAACTGGGAAGAAGCTAATAATCTCTATTTGTGTGCTAAAGAAACCTGGAACAAACTGAAGAATCATGCATCTTTGAGGTAGTGAACTGTAAACTTCTTATCTTACCTTGGGTACTTTTCCTTTGGAGAGAGGCTTATCAGCTAGGGATGTTATTTGAACTGGATAAAGCAAGAGACTTTAATGTTCTTGAAAGCTTGGAACTTCATGATTGTTTAGCTTGTAAGTTACAATATGAAAAGATGTTTTTTATAAAATCTTGGGAAAGAGTTGGTAGACTCTATGGATATAGCACTAAAACAGTCTGTTCTATGTGCCAGTGCAGGAAAACAAGAACCTTATTTTTCCCTTGTTACAGATATTTTTTTTTAACGGCTTTGAAACAAATGGCAATAAGCAGAAATTAAAATTGACTGTGAGCAAAAGGATGTTGCAAATGTTATGGGAAAACATGCTGGGTTATTCATGTCTTTAGTTTTCCAAGTGGGTGTTGCTCAGGAAATGCTACTGAAACTCTGAGAACTGAAATAATATATATTGGGTTTGAAGTGTTCTTCATCAGTTTTTCTTTTAATTATTTTGTTTTCTGGCTTAATGATACACCACAAGTTAAAGTCTTATGTTTGGCTTTATATTCAATTCCATGGCAACTGATTTAAAATAATATTCATAGAGAATCATTTGGAGGTCTGTTCCATTTTACACTGAAGACAGTAGAAAAATCTATTTTGATTTTAGTAAGACATTCAAAAGACTTTGTCCTGAAACATAGAGGTGCCTACTGAAAAGATGTTAGTCTTCTTTTATGGCAGGAAATTCCTGTTCAAAACTCCTTCTTTTGTTCAGCTTTGTTTCTGAAGTTAAACTGCTGACTTATGAGAATGAGTTGATAACAAAATATGATGCAATAAGTTACTGTTTTGCATCTGTTGTAAAAGTGATTAACTGATAATTCTACTGGTGTTGAAACTAAAATATGCTGTGCAAGTGCAGCTCGCACCTGCTCCCTAAGCCAAACTATGGCCTTACCTTTGGGTTCTTGACTTTGCAGCTGGGATACTCATTTCAGATCAATTTGGATATATAAGGCATTTAATTTGGTAAATACTTTAGGTATAAGGATTCTTAGTAAAACTGACACAATTAAATTCATCTGAACTGCTCTTATTTTTCAGCTATCACAGAATTTTACCTGATTACCTGCGACGTTTCACAGTTGGCTGGGTGTACACAAGAATCCTTTCTCAAGGAGTTGAAATTCTGCAGAGACTTCACAAGTATAAGGTAAAGTGGTGAGCTGAATAGAAATATGTGCCTGATTTTTGTACATTAATTTACACTTCTGATGTGCCTGGAAAATGGTGGTAATGTTTGCCAGGGCTTGCTATAGTTCTAGTAACATGTTACTTTTAAGGGAAAAGAGCTGTTTTTTTGTGCTGCTTTAGAAAGTTTTAAATTGTTTTGATTTCTGCTTATGCTTTGAAGATTTACCATATGTAATGCACCTTAAAACTATTGCTGAGATATGCTAGTTTCATTATTTAAAGATATCTGTGTTTCACTAGATGTGGCTATTGATTTTAAATAAGAGTAATCTTGAAAGAGAAATCTTCTAGAAATCCTTGGGTCTTCCTTAGGGAATTAACATCTCCAAAGACCTCTGACTTCTGTTAATCAGATTATTTTGAAAAAGACGTCACCTCTGCAAAAAAGCAACGAGTAATACTTGAGATATTTTTCATATACATTAAGGGATACGGAAAGGATAAAAATACTGTATTTCTGGCAGTTAACCTTTAAGTTTACATAAAAATACCTCTATTCTAGAATTTTAAGATACATGTATGGATCTGAAATGGCTATATTGGGTAGTGGAGTAAAAAGTAGGTTTGGATTGTCAAGCGACAAAGTTTCTGTAGTATTCATTAATTAGAGGGGAAAGTGAAAAGCTAACTTGAACTTGGTTTTGTAACCCAGTTAATAACGGTTCAATCCCATTGCTACAGGAAGCAGTGCAGCAGCTGCAGAGCCTCCTGGCCCAGGATGTGTATTGTACTGACAGCAGAGGGAGATGGTGGGATCGACTCGCTCTGAATCTACATCAGCACTTGAAAAACACTAAGAAGGTATCTTCACAACTGCAGCTGGAAGGCTGGAAACACTGCGGGCATTGTCTGAAAACATTTTAAAAAGTATTTCTTATGGAAAGAACAGTGGAGTAGAGTCTCCTAAAAATGCAGATTTTGTTAGGAATCCTAAGGTCATACAACCATTTTCAACTAAGAAAATTAATCCACTTCCTTAATCTTATACTGATCAGTAGAAATTGAGAGGAATGTCTTTTTTCTGTACTAGTGTAAATTTGAATCCAGAAGCCTCATTGTGCAAAATGTTACTCATTGGTTAGAACTTTACCACATCAGTTAGCAAGGTGTCCCTGTCCTGTACTCTCGTTCTTACACTCACATTTGTGCTTCAGTCAATTGCTCCTGAACAGAGAGGTGTGCAGAGGTCTCTGTAAATTGCTGTTTGTTCCCTTGCTGTTTGCCAGGCCATTGGCTGCATCCGGAGGGGGCTGGCAGACCCAGCCGTGCGCACCGGGCACCGCCTGTCCCTGTGCCAGCGCGCCCTGCGCATCCGGGACTCCCCCAGCTGCAAGCAGTTCCAGGGCCTGCTGCAGGACCTGCCCATCCTCACCGTGCAGGATGTGACACACGTAAGGAAGCAGCAACTCATGAGCTCTTTTTACTTCTGACAAATAAAAGTAATCTGGGAGACTTTAATGTTAAATGTTAAATGCTGTCCACCAGCCTCTGACTGACATGGTGCAGGAAAAGGAATACAAGTGTGTTTCTAAAACAAAGCCCTTTTGTAATCAAATACTTCTATGTTGGTCAGCTTCTTATTTGAAGTTAGTCAGCTGTACACTGATCTAATTTGCATTGCTTTATATGTGTTATGGATGTGATCGGCCATAAACTCTACTAATGCCCTCAGAGCCTTCATTTCTGGCTGAAGAGTCTGATCAGATCAATGCACTGCCTCTGGTGGCTGCAGGCCAAGCATTCTGTGTGGTAGAAAATAGTCACCTTAGCATGTTGTCAGCATTAGATTAATGGCTAAAAAAATGCCACTGTTCTTTTAGGAACCTTTAGAAGTTACACACTGTAAATATATGTTATGCAAATATTCAGTGTGGGGCACCTGCATGATATTTGAATGGATTTTAAAAAAATCTATCTTTTCCATACTATTGTAAAGATAATTCTGTCTGGGCAAAATCAGAGCAGAGTCTCACTTCCTCTCTCAGTGTCCTCACCACGTCTTCCTGCAGCCCTTCTTTGTCTCAGCCCAGTCTGTCTACTCAGTTTTCTGTGTTTTTGCTCCTTGTGCTGATAGAGAAAGGCTACATTCCCATCTGCCCAGAATTTTTGCTAGACATTTGTTTTCTTTAAAATGTTTTGGTTTATAAAAGCTAAACTGGATGATTTCACAGGAATGACAGGTTAAATTATATTCAGTTGATTTTTGGAAACAAATCTAGTTCTGATTTTGAGAAAATTGAGAAGGGCATTTTGGGCTAAAGCTTTTTAAATGTGATGCTGGAAAGTAACCAAATGTTTTAATATGCTCAGGTTACAATCAATGGAAAGATGTGTCCTCAGACAGGAATGGGAAAATCTGTGTTTCTCATGGAGGATATTGGTGATGGAGAAGGAAGCGAAGACTGCAGTGTATCCACAGTCATGTGCTCGGTTGAGGAGCTGGCATTAACTCATTACAGGAGGAATGGTTTCGATCAGGGTAATAGTACTGTTGGTTTGGGGATATTTTGCAGTAAAATAACTCTGGGAGTAAGTAAAGAAACTGTTTACTAATCCGTTCAGTTAATAGACCAGTTGTAGCTGGTTTCGTTAGACCAGATTTTAGGCTGATTCTGTTTCCTTCCCAACCACCTCTAATACATCACTTCCTTACCAAAGTGCTCTAACATGAATTTTCAGCCTCACCTGCTTCCTGGCCTTTAATGATTTGCTGCCTTCATTTACCAAAGGTGGTTTTGAAACGTATTAGGAAAACCCCAGTGTTTTTTCTTCATCTACATAGAAAATCACTTACTTTGCCTCCCTTACCATTGAACAGCTAAGGATAAAACAGTTTAGGGTAAAATGCTAGCATTATCATTTAAGGGAGTGTCACTAAGCAAATGTAAATCTCCACTGATTTTTAGTAGTAGATGTCCATGAAAACAGTATGTACTAATAGCACAACACTGCAGGATTTTTTTGAAAAGGCTCTACTAGTAGCTTTTCATGTATTTTTACAATTTAGGGGCTATGAAAAGCCATCAACTAGTAAGAATATATACGTCTGTTTTACAGGAAAAAAAGCAAAATACAACAAGGTAGGCTGGTTCTTTTTAAAGATAAAATTTGTATCTTTCTATAAGATATATATTTTAACATAGTTTATTTTATTGATAATACTGTTGCAGCAAAAGTGAAAAAAGATCAGAAGAAAGTAAATAGGAAGGGAACAATATATGGAATTTGGGAGAATTGTGCTGAGATTCCTCATTCCCACCCACTCATCATTGGTGTTCTTGGCTCAGTACAGTTTTGAGCACACAGTGGCCATGTGTGATTTAGTGAAGATCCAGAATAGCCATGCCAGCTCCATGCACACACCCCAACACACACATGGTCTCTCTCATATGTATGAGGTATCACGCCTGTATAATACATATATGAATATATATACATTATATGGTACATAATAACATACATGTTCTGGGATCTGTGTGTGTGTCATGTAACATTACATAAACTACTATAGATATATTGTACTAACAGACTAATAATGAATATACATCACAGAGTGGCTGAGGTTGACAGGGAGCTCTGGGGTCACTTTGTCCAACCCTCAGCTCAAGAGCCAACTCTCCCAGACCATGTCCAGCTTTAGAGTATCCCAAGGAGGGTGCCCAGCCTCTCTGGGCAGCCTGTGCCAGTGCCTCATCACCTTCACAGTGAAAAAGTGTTTCCTTGTGTTTGCACATATATAGATATATATAGTCATACATATATATGTCTCCCTGTGTTTGTACATTTATATAGAGATGTTCACAGAACCATAGAACCATTGAATGGTTCAGGTTGGAAGGGCTCACAGTGGGGTCATCTGGTCCAACCCCTCTGCTCAAGTGAAGTTATCCCAGAGCACATGGCACAGGATTGTTGTGGAATAGCTCCTGGGAGGGAGACTCCACAGCATCTCTGGCAGCCTGTTCCAGTGCAGAGGTCTTCACTGTAGAAGGCAGTCAGTTTCATCAGGCATTATTTAGCTGTAGTGAATCCATGCTGACCACTCAGGATCACCTTCTTGTCATCCATGTGGACAGAGATGGCCCCCAGAATGAGGCACTCTGTCACCTTTCCAGGGATTGAGGTGAGGCTGACTGGCCAGGACTCCCCCGGGTCCTCCTTTCCCTTTCTGCAGAATGGGTGACATTTGCTTTCTTCTGGCACCTCTCCTGATAGCCACCACCTTCCAAAGATGATAGTGAGTGGCCTCACCGTGGTGTCTGTCCACTCTCAGCACCTCTAGGTGCATCCCCTCAGGGCCCATGGACTCGTGGATGTCAAGTTTGCCTTGGTGTTCTCTAAGCCAGTCCTCCTGAACCAAGGGAAGGTTTTCCAACATTCCTTTCCCCAGGTCTTCTGGGTTAGAGGTCCCTGAGAGCTGGTTTTGGCAGTGAAGACCAATGCAAAGGTGTTCCAGAGCCCTGCTCTCTGTGTCCCCTGTTACCAGGGCCCCTCTCCATTTAGCAGCAGGCCCCCATTAACCTGAGTTTTCCTTTTGGTGTTGAGGTATTCAAAGAAGCCCTCCTTGGTGTCCTTGATGTGTTGTTTTCACATGCTCATATGTGTGCATAAACGTGTAGAAGCATGTGTATACGTGAATATATGAACACATATGTATTTACATATATAAATGTATACATATAAAAGGCATAATAGGTAATATTCACAATAAAACAGGTATATAGAATAATATTTTATACAATATCTAATTATATAATATAAATATATGTCATGTTTTGAGTATATTATATATTATTATCATCCACATTGTATCTTTTTTTAACATTAAAAAAATACTTTAAAATTGTCAGTTAGCCCAGTAAGCTTTGTGGGGGCCAGGCAGGGATGGGAACTGTGCTGCAGCTGAAGGCCCATGGCCTGGGAGCAGCAGGCTTGGGGAATGGGGCAGAATGAACTGCATTTGCAGCTGCAGTGGGAATGTGTGCTGACATCAGCTGGCCATGAACCTGAACATGGCAAATTTCTGCTTTGGGTCATGATGGCTCAGTATCTCTTCATATGACATTGCTGTAGAAATTAATGTTTCCATTTTTATTAAATTCTGCCCTTTAGGCATTCATGGGGAAGGCTCAACGTTTATTACGCTGTATGGGATTCTGATGTGGGATATCATTTTCATGGATGACATACCTGATGTGTTCAGAAATTCCTATCAGGTAATTTTGAAAGGCTTTCTTTAGTTAATTTATTTCTCCATTGCTGTAGACTCAGTAACCATGTTAAAATCTTATTTAGGATTAGATTAGCATTTTATTCTTTGTGTTTCCTTCATTTTATTATTTATTATGTTTAGCTTATTGCCAAGGGCCTCCTCAGTAACCAGTTGCTGTGCCAGACTGGATTCACAGTCAGAGAATGTGGGATTGATCTGATTGAATGTTTGTGTCCTGTAGCTGAGCTCACTGAGCAAGGTGAAAGAAACAGTGGAGAAACACTGCCATGTCCCAGCCTAGTTCCTCTCATTGGAAAAGGACACATTCCATTGGGGGGAAAAAAAATAAAAGTCCGTTTCTTTTCAATATCTTTATTTATCAACCCACCCACCCCACCATTCCTTTTCAACAAAGGAAGCAAGCAAACATTACACAGCCCTCTCCAAGAGCTCCCTGTTGGACCCTAAGGTCAATGATTCCAGGTGAACTTGTGGCTTTATTTTTCTTCACCATCTGAAGCAGAAGTCCTTGTGGCTGAGCTGAACAGGCCCACAAGTAGGACAGGAAGGGGTTAGCTGTAACTCCAAAGGCCATACAAAACTGAAATGGAATTCATATAAATAGCTCCTCTTGTTGTCCTTATTAATGCACAGCAAAGCTATCCATGATCCTCAGGCATCACCAGTGATGAGCTGACAGCTCACACCTGATTCTCTTCTCACTCCTAGGCTGTATTTTGTGTGATTATGTGTGGCAGCCGTCTGTGTAAGGCTGTTCCCTAAGCGAGAGCTCTGCATTTGCTTTTGGAAAGCTGGTGGCTCTCGGGCCCTGCCTGTTCCACAGCATCAAAGCTGAATTGCTGCAGGGGCTTTTGACGTGCTGAGTGTTCAGCTCTGTCTCGGGGCTCTTCCTGTGGGCACTGGAGGATCCTCCCCAGCTCCATGATGGCTTTGTTCTTTCACCTCAAACTGCTCACTGTGCCTGAGTAGTTTTGATCCCGGGTCCAGATCCTGCCTGGAACATTACTGCTCAGAGTGCTGGGAATGCACAGAATTCTTTGTCTGTTAAAGGAAACCTCTGTCTAGAGTTCAAAACAACAGAGCAGAGGCCAACATGTGGCCAGCGTTTGTTGCACTGGCACTGGGTGTTAAAACAAACGCAAATTTTTTCCCATTTAATAAATATTTATGTGGTGGGCATGTTCAAGATAAATCAGCTCAATGTTTGAGTTACTTTGTAGTTAAGAAAAATATGAAGTAGAACATTATCATTCTGGGAATAGCTGTTGCAGTGGCAGTTCCTGAGAGCTGTATTTACCTTCTCATCCAGACAGCCCCCCTGGATTTATACACTGACAGCTTCTATGAGAGCAGGAGGGCTGTCATTGAGGCCAGACTCCAGCAGCTTCACACAGCTTCTTCGGAGACACTGGCAAAGTTGGTTGCTGATGTCTGGACCACTCAGGAGGGAAAAGCAGCAGCCCTGGTTAACTGGGGACGTTTTATTTCCCTCCAGCAAGTCCAGGTAAGTAACTGTTGCCCAGCATGGGCACTCCAATTAGGTCTGACATTCAATTTCTCATAGCCCTAGTGTGCTGATAAGAAGGTTGTATTGAGGCCTGAGCCGTGGCAGGTGGAGAGTGGTGGGAGGGAGGAATTGAGATGAGGCATTATTGCCCTGAACTTCCTATGCAGGCAGTGTTACAATTTCCTCAGATGGTCACTTTTTGCTGCAAAAGTAGCTGGGAACACAGCAGGGAAATTGATGTAAAAAACATCTACTTAAGTTTCTTGTTACACGAGACTAAACAAAGAGCTGAGCTGGGCCATCCAGTATTCTTGTGAGGGTTGGGAAATGGTTCTGCAGGAAATTAAAACCAATCCAAACCAATTACCAGACCTTCTCTTGCAGAGCCTGGTCTCTTGCCTTGGAGGAGCGTTTCTGAGCGGTGTTTTCCGGCGGCTTTCCAGGGACCTGCGGCACTGCCGGGGGGGACTGCCCGACCTGCTCGTGTGGCGCTCCCACAGCCGGCACTTCAAGGTGTGTGGGGAGGACGGGAATACTCAGCACTCAGTTGCCTTCCCTGGTGTAAAACCCTGCACTTGTCAGCCCACACAAATGGTAATTTCCTGTGGCGGTGGAGTCAGACTGGGCTGCCCTGGCCCCACGGAGCAGTGGGTGATTATCCGCTCCTGCAGCAGCTGCGCTGGAGCTTTAATGGGCATAGGGAGCAGCAACGGTCTGCACTGGCTGAGGTTGGTGTAGAAATCATCTTTGATTAATCGTGTTGTAAAGCACCTGGTACCAATCAGCCACACATCGACTGTTGTTAGCAAGGACTTCTACTGGCACCACTTAGACAAAATCTGGACTATTTGAGTCTACAACTGTGTCTATGTCTGCTACAGAAATTGACTAAACGGTCATGGATGGTGCCTTGCATGGTAGTGGAATAGCTACTAGAAAACTATTAGACATCTCATCTGTTGGAGCAACTTTTTGTGTGTTTATGATACAGAGCTGAATAACAGAAATTAGTTCTCTAGAATACCTGAGTAAGTTGCTGTCAGTATCAGCTGGAACAGCTGAGGGTGCAGACACTCAATTTCAGTATGAGAGGTGTTCATTCACCAGGGCTTCTGTCTGTGTTTTGGTGGATATTTAATATATAAAATTTAATTCTCTTACAGTTAAATTTTGAGATATGGGATAGTAATTCAGCACACACTAGACCTTCCATTGTGCTAAAATTTCTCATATTTTTCTTGCAAATAACAGCTATAAAAACCCACTTCTTGCGTGGGAGCTAATGATCCTTCAGTTCCTCCAGGGACACTTCTAACCATCCCCCTTTCCTTGTAGCTGGTGGAGGTGAAGGGCCCCAACGACCGCCTGTCTCCCAAGCAGATGCTGTGGCTGAGTGAGCTGCACAAGCTGGGGGCTGCAGTGGAGGTTTGTCACGTGCAGGACGTTGGAGGCAAGAGCAAACGCTTCAGCTGACAGAGGTTGGATGATGTGGGGAACTCGGGTGTTCTTAAAGGAACGGGCAGCACACACCAATGGCTGCTGCTGATTATTAAAAATAGTTTCTCCTGAAATTCTGGTTTCTTGGAACATTACCACAGTCCTTTTTAGCACAAAACATATAATTTGAGAAAACTGTCAGTATGATTTACTGCATGTCACTTTGCATTCAGAGGGGCAAAGCCCTTCCCTTCTCTCCACAAACTCCTGACTTACTCTCCCAGAGGTAATCTGGGGTTTGCCCAGTGAAGAGGAAGAGCTGCCTTCAGACTGGTACACCCCGAGAGCATTTCTACAATACAGAAACTGGGCCATCAGGTCCTGCTCATTTCTGTGGTGCCCTTGTGGCCTAAATTCGTTATGTTGGGCAAGTCTCCTTGCAAGGTGTGAGTTCAGCCCCTTGCCAGGATTGTCAGGTCCAGTGTGGTTCTCTGCCTGTCCCCACTTACCATTATGTATTTGAATTTTGCACTTGTACAGAAACAGATACAGGTGTTCCAGGATGGCAGAGAGTAGACCATAAAGCATTAATGCTGTTCTAATGTGCTTCTGTGTATGAAAGGATAATTTAACAGCCCCTTCTGTTGTATCTATATTGCCTGTATAAAGGGAAATATTCCTGGTAGTAGACAGGAGCAGGTCAGTGCCAAGATGACCACACTCAGTATAGTCATTTCTGCCCCACATAAATCGATGTGTTTGCTCATTCAGAAGTATGTCAGTCAACTGGAACTAAAAAGATTAATTCCCTCTTAAGATGCCAAAACCCCATGGGTTTCCCTTAATTTTAACACACCACCAATATCTTTGCTCTGGAGTCTTCATTCTCATATTGAGTAAGTTCCCTGCTATCAGAAATTCTGATCACCATGCAAACTGCAAACACTATAACAGAATATAGCAAGAAATAAGATAATTTGCACATCGTTTTTATTAATCATCTTACTATAGCACAGTATCCATGCTACTCCTGGAAAAAAACCACATACACACAGGTTTTTTTTTAGGGGAAGGGAAAGAAGACCACCCGAAGTTCACTGTGGAAAGGTACGAACTTTTATTCACTCTAATTTACTTCACATTCACAACTCAGCATCAGGATTTTATAATCTTCCTGCCACTGCTACTTTACTCAGTAAATCATTATCAGGCACAAAGGTTTTAGTTTTAGTGAAATGGTGAACTCAAAACCATCACAGCAACAGCATCAGAAACCTACTGCCTAGAGCAATTTGAGGTACAGATTTCTGTCTCTTGGTTAGAGGCAAATTTAAGATTTCGTCCTTTGCTTAAATACACGTTAGGATATTTTTGGTTTTAATATCTTTCCATCTGAGACTAAGCCAAAAGGTTTGCCCAGCTTGCTACATTTTCATTAAAATACAAGGCAGTTAATTGATCAGAGTGGTATTGCAGGCAGGTGCGCAGAAGCACACGTGTAGGCCTGGGCAGACACGCACAGTTGTCAGTGCATTTCTGGAGGCAGGACAGGTGTGACACAGGGCTGTGCCTGGAGGCTGATGTGCCAGCGCAGTCCCAGCCCTGCACTGAGCCCAGCTGCTGCACTGGGGCTCCCCCTGTGTGGTACAAAGTCATGAGTCAGCCAGGAACAGCTGCAGTAATGCACATTTTCTACAAACACAGAAGGATGAGATGCTTGGTAGCTTTTCTACTCTTGCAACACAGAAATGGCATTTAACAGTATCTTGTTTTATGGTGAAGAGAAATTAAAATTTGAAAATACGTGTACATATATATACACAGACATATATATACACACTTGCATGTCAGTATTCTGTACACAGAAGTTAGATACATAAACACACCCCAAAATTGCTTTTGAAAGCTATTAAAGATATTCAGAACAGTCCCTACTGACTTGATAAGGCAACTGTGCAGAGTGGAGAATATTTCACAATCAACACTTGGTACCTGTCTTTCAAAAGTGAATCAGAAAGCATCGAGCTGTTTAACTCAGAGGAAGCAGCAGCATCCACAGGCTCACTCCCACAGACACAGCAGCTGCTCAGATTCCTCAGCAAGGCTGTGCAACACAAGGAAGCAGAACTTTGTCTTCAAGTCTAGGGAAAGGTGGCTCCCTTCCCTTCCTCTCTGCAGGAGGTGCCCACTCAGCCTCTCTGACTCCCTTTTTGGAATGGTATAAAATTTCTTTCTAAGTCTGTTTGGCAAATAGATATTTTGACAGGTTTTATTATAAAGGCATATTAATTTTAACCCTCTCCCATGCTATATATATAAAATACAAAGACCTTCTGCAGCATCTGTACACATCTTAGAACTGAAATGTAAAAATGTCTGAAACCTCATTATAAAAGACTATTCTGTTTAAATATAGTACCCATTTTCCCCCCAAAGGGTACTAGCCTAAAGATTTTTTTAATTCCACCAGCTGCTTTTGTGGAGTAACTTATTTACACATTTTTGGTACCTTTAAACTGAAAAACTTATACTTTTAAGGAAAGAAAAGAAAAAAAAAGACTATAGTTTTAACTGTCATTTTAAAAGAAAATAAACTGGTACCAAAAGACACTAAGCACACAGGTTGAGGTCTTTATGTCAAGTATCAGGCCAGGGAAAGCAGAAAGCTAATGGGAAAAGAGGAATGGCAAAAGCAAACTAATACAAATGTTTGAATAATGAGCAAGTGAGATGACTGCTCCAGCAAGCCTGGAAATAAACACAACTGGTTTGTGGACCATTTAACATGCTCAGCTCATCTTGCAGCATAATCAGGCAATTGAGGTGAATACACGTTTTTTCCTCACAAACAGTTGCCCAGAAGCACCTGGCATTGTGTCACAACAGCCTGTGTCTGCCCACATTGTGCGCAGCACACACACAACAGCTGCTTTGCATAGGAACAGGGTTTGGAAGTTTTGGAAGGTAAAAAAGGAAGTCCTCCTCCCCTGACATTGTTCACCCTTGCATTTGCCTTGCCTTGCTTCCCTCTCCCAACTCCAGCAGTGCAAGCAAGGCACAGCCTTGGAGGTCAGGGAACAGCCTGGCAGCCAAACCCCACTTTTGTGATTTAGGCTGTGCTGAAGATCAGTTTGGGTTTACAAACAAAGATCTCCAAATCCTATCCCCTCCCCTTTTTTTAAACTCAAATACACTGCGTAATCCCATCCTGCAGCTTTCTTTTTTCCCCATTGAGAAAACAGAACAGCTGAGTCCATCATATATAAGGCCTTTAGTGCCTTAACTGGTGAGGCAGCACTGGATGGATGGATGGATGGATAGAGGCTCAGTGTCAGTTCAACAGCATTGGTGTTTATACAGAAATAATTTAATACACAGTACAGCCTCACTGCTCAGAGAAGGCAGCTGACAGGAGCCTTATCCTATGAGAATGACACATCACTGTTTGTCCGACCTCCTGGAATTCTTCACACTGCTGCCTTTCTCCCTGTGAGTCCTCTTATGGACAGCATCCAAGGAGAGGCAACATTTAAAAACGTTTCAGAACAAGGAGGAGGCTGCTACATTAAGCAGAGGGAGGCTGTTGGATGTAATTCCCTCAGGGGGTGCTTGTTCATTGCACTGTCCCTGTGGATGTGCAGTCTGCAAAAAGAAGGCACCACTCACTGCTCTTCTTGCAGCACCTGCCTACCAGTGACTGCAGCACCTGCACCCCTCGTGGAACTGGCATTGAGGAAGCCAGCAGGGCTCAGGTATGAGTTCTGCTGAAAGCTACTTCATCCTGCAAAAAAATGAGAAGGGGGTTGGCAGGGATTGGGATCTCTGCAGGGATACAATGCTGTGTAGTCAAAAAAAGAGAACACCTGCTGTTTCTTTTGGATGCCTGTTGTTTCCAGAAATGGAGAGGGGGAAGCAGGGGATGGAACAGGAACTTGCCACAACAATCTGTTTTAAAAAGTTGGGGGGGGGTGTCAGCTGCATTAGAGTAATCCTGCTACTGTTTCCTCCCAATTGAAGGCACTTCTAAAGCTACTACAATACCATATCTACAGTAAATGTTATAAGGTTAACAGTGCATTGTCCTGATGTGGATTCCTATAGTCTAAAGTCAAGCTCATGACAAAGAGCACAAATCTGACTAATTGTTAATGAATGTGTTTTGGGGAGACAAAGAAAAGGGAACAACCCCTTCCATGGATACACTGCATTAGCACAATGTAGGGTGATCGGTCATGGAACCTTAGTATGTTTGTATCTATGCAAGTAAGTACTACTCCTGAAGAGGCAGTCTGATAAAATAGTATATTCCCAGATTTCAGCTGTCAGTTCATCTCCACTGCACTACTTTGGCTTTCCAAGCTGTTTTATCAAAGGGTCACTTCAGTCGCTATCTGGGAAAACAAAGGCATTTCAAGCAGAACCCTTACTAATGACCAAACCAAGCCTTTCAGTTAGATAATGAAACACTCTATCACTTGTAATGAGCCAAACCCCCAAGAACAGGAGGAATTGGGGAGCAGAATCCCCAGCAGATGAGAACTACTGAAGACAAAATTGTGCGATTTGAAGCATGACTTGCCTTGCTTTTAAATATTTGTGCAAATCTTACGTAACGTTTGTATATAAAAATTATTACAGCTTTCAATGCCGCATTTAGCAGTGTTAAGTTAGGAAAGACAAAATGATATGCTGTATTCTCCCCAAACCTTGAAACCTCCACATCACCTCAGTCTTCATTTGCAAGTGTCTCGGTGGATAGCCAAATTTTGGCACCACTTAAAAATTTGCTTAAAGGTGTTCCCAAAATGCTCCGTCTGCATAGGTTCCCTACAGGAGAAAATGGGAATGAGGAGGAGAGAAAGTCTGGGGTGCCTGAGGTGTCATTTAAACCATTTGCTCTGAAGTACATCCTGCTTTGATCCAGTTCTGAGCAGTGGCCTTGCAAGGAGGAGTTGCTCTTGTACTGCCGCAGGCTGCGGTTTAACATGTCCACCTCGTCTGCCAGCAAAGAAACTCTGTGGAAAGCGGTGATGGAGCCCCCGTGGTTGATCTGGGCCTCGGGAACCCATCGGAAGTAGCAGAGTTTCCACAGTTTTATTTGTGTTCCAGAGAGATGGGGCAGAATGACACCGTGCAAATCAACGGGCTTTGCAAACCAGTCTCTGAAGTACTGCTCCATACTGTGGCTCTGCCCCTCTGCTGGCTGGAAAAAGTCTGGCTTCAGTTTTAGTATCAGAGAGTTTCTTCTTGGAAGGAACTCCTGCTCACCAACGACTCCGTTTTTTAGTGCTGGGGGGACACCTCGCAATGTGGAGCTGTAGTTTTTCTGCAGAAAATAAACACTGGTAATTTTCCAGTTCTGCGTTCATTGGAATAGTAAATTTCCCTGAACTGCCAGGGTGCATCATCCAGAGAAATGCTGTAACCTTTAAATAGGTCTGAGTCACTACTGCGGGGCTCACAGGGCAAGCTGTGGCCTTTAGAAAGAAACACATACGGTTTTTTGTAGCAACAAATGATTGACTTATAATCAGTATTTACTGAAAATACTGACAACCCTGGGGAAAAAGCAGCCTGTCATCACTTTTCCAAAGGTGAAATAATGCAAATGTTGGCAATGACTCAGCCACATCGGAAAAGTCCTAAAACACAAAGCTCAACAATTTACATCTTTACTTCTACAGAAAATAATTTCTTTAGGCTGGGAAGCCAAGAAATTGAAGGCTCCTACTGCTAATCCAAGGGCACCTGCAGCCTCCCCAGCACAACCCCTGAGTGTGAGCACAGCCTCAGCCCCTCAGAGCACCCCCAGTTACCTTGGAGCGCTTGAAGGTGCGGGGGGCCCCGTTGTGCACGCTGGGCGTGCTCTTCCCGATGTACAGCGGGTTGTGGAACAGCAGCCGGTCCCGGCTCGTGAACTGAAGAGACCAGTCCCAAACACACGGGAACCTGAGGCCTTTCTCATCACCCAGCTGAATATTTTTGCTTATAGCAAATTCCTGCAAGAATTTAACATTCAGGCAGATTAAAATCAAAGAAAATGGGCTTATTCATCAATTTTAAAGCCAGCATGTAACTAGTGGGCAAAGAGGAGCAGGGTAGCACAACAGAGCAGCAAAGCAACTGAAGAAAACAATTGCTTTGCATTTATGCAGTTACTTTTCAAATATATTAAATTGTTTGTTGGCTTACTCTTAACCCCCAAACTGGCATTTTGAGAGTTCACCAATAGTTTCTCAATGCTCTACTTCCTTGTAAGGTAGCTACTTACAATTTTAAAGGGAAAATATTTAACAAAATAAGTAAGTTTCACTTTTATCAGCCATCAAATGTTTTTTACATACAGTTCTGATAAGCTCCAGTTTTCAAAATCAAATTTAAGTTTTCAGTTTTCTAAATGCCCCATTGTGCATTACTATTGGAACTTCATGCAGCATCTCCAACTTTTTCAACCATTCAAACAATTATGTCAAGAGATTTCAAAGTTTGCCTGAAGCATGAAATTCTATTTATTGCCTGTCATTCTACTTTCTGAGTTCCAGATACAGATTTGCTTCCTAGACAAGTACAAATAACTATGTAGAGTAGCAACATTTTCCTAGGAAAACAACAAAGAAATTCAATAGACTTTCTTCTTGAATAGTTACTCACTGTCTCTCCACAGATCACCTGAAAGTGAGGATTGTATTAACCTGGGGACCTGAGTGTTTTGCCCCAGAAATAGTGTGACAATTTGAAGGACACACAGGAAGCTTTAGCTGGGATGCTGTTATTTCCAGGGGGGCAGGCTGCAGTCTCCTGCTGGACAAGCAGGTGCAGCCCCTCCTACTCACAGTGCTTTCCTTGACTCGCTGGTGAGGGCAGTTGAAGAGGAAGGTGCCGAACAAGGAGATGCGGGCGCTGTCGTACAGGATGGTCAGGTACACTTCAGAGAACTCAAAGGCTGCTGGGTATTGTTCCAGCAGCTGCCAAACACAGTCAAGGAACATCAAGAACAAAGGAGACTGGGAAAAGAAACAAGGAATTACCAGATTTAACATAAGCTTTTCCCAAATCATACCAATTTCTTTGCAGTTATGGTATTTGGTGGTACCACTGAGTAAACCATAGGGTAAACTATTTGCATTTTTCATGATTCTATGCAACTGTCACATCTGTATTCCTGCTTAGCCACTTCTTTCTCAGTGCTGCCTTTGCACAGTTTTCCCTTCTGTGTAAGTCAGTCAGTTCTTTCCTGGGTTCCCCTCATACTCATGCAGCTACAAAAATCCTTTCTGCCATCTATGTCCCTCATCATTTCCAAATTAGTGCTTCCTTGCCACTTGGCCTTGTTTTTACAATGTATTTATTTCCTTGTTTGAAATGACTGGAGAGTTTATGATTCTGCCACGTTCATTTCTCACCACATTTTCTAGCTCTTTTCCATAGCAGCCCATGAATGGCAAAAGTATAAACAATCATTTATGTAAAGTTTTAGAAATATTTTCCCCTTCCCATTTACACTCTTCAGTTTATCCTGTCCTAGGGCCAAAATAACTGTTTTTCATTATTTCCCTCTTGGCATCTCATTTCTTAATTTCCCTTCATGTATTTTCTCCACTTGCTGCTCAGTGCCCTTGATTCCTCTGTGGGTTCCACACCCTGGGGATGTTCCTGTTCTGTGACTCTGAGGTTCCTAACCTGGGTCCTCTATGCTTCCACCTGCAGTTAGCAGTCCCTCTTTTGCCATGAAGAGGCCAAACAGGATGAGCTGGCAATGCTGGAAGCTGAGCCCTGTGCTCCCCCCTCCTTCCACCTCCTGACAGCTCATGCAGCTGTGGGGCTTCTCCAGCAGCTCCCTGCTCTGAAAGCACTGCAGAGTGCTAACACCACAGGGATGGAAACAGGGATTGGTAAAACACACAGCAAAACCACCCCCTCCAACCCCACTCCTCACCTCCTTCCATTTCAAACTGAAACGTGAGCTGTGCTATTGTTTGTACCAGTGAGATGCTTTCATGTGTAACCCTGAAGCAACATAAAATCCCATTGGGTTGCACCTGGTATTTCACAGATTCTCACACAGCGTCAGAGGGTAAAGAAAATATATCTCTGCCCTGGAAAAAGACTTACTTCCTCTGATACTATTTTAATGAGACTTGAAAGTATTAAAACATATTTTTACTTTCAGATTTCTGTACGAATAAACGTTCAGGATGATATCAACCATATACTGTGATCATATGCAGATACAATTAATTTTTACCTCTTTGTCAGATCTCTTTAAGTGGTTACACCTATCTAAAAATTGATATCCTGCCATGACCCATTCTTTCTGTATTAAGCTTTGAAATCCAACAATTGTTCGAAAATAGGGATCCAGCATGACTTGAATGAGAGAAGCTGCAAGACAGCTCAGGTCCCGTCCCTCTTCCTCTGCAAATAACACAGAATGTACAGAATATATAAGGTAAATGCACATGTAAAGAATTAGATTTCAAAGAGCAAAAAGGTGCAACTTGGTCCTGTGTTTTTCTTAGAATATACTTTTTCCCGTGTTTTTCTTTAAAATATACTTTTATAGTTGTTTTAATTTTTCTCATAATTAAAAAAACCCCAACAAACTAGAAGAAAATCACACTTTTTTCTTAATCTGAGACTTATACTATAGGGCTCCTGCAGCATCCAGCACAGCAGTGCATTCATCAAGAACAAAATACCCACTCAACTGCCTAGTACTTAAACCAAGATGTGCTGAGGAGAAGGGTGTTCATACTGCTAGAATTTTTCAACGTTTTTCCACCCTGAAGCAATTTTTGGAAGGCCATTATATAGGAAGAGTGGGATATTCCAGCTGGACAGTTCTTGTAAAAACTAAGGAAATTACAGAATTACAGATATGAGCAAGTTTTCCAGTGTCTTTTCTTCTAAAATACCTGTTTGCACAGACACAAGGAGTGGGCACTGAGTGAAATAGTTTTGTCTATAGAACCTCTGAATTAAACTGATATTGTTTATGCAGGGACTATTAGCCCAATTAACTCAGTACAAAGGTTCACCCTAAGGTTTTGATTCTATCTTTGTCAGAACAAAACCCACAAAGACTCAAAGCAAAATATTCCTTTGATGCTAAGGACTATACTACAGTTCAGACACATAACAAAATTATTTTTCCTTATAGTTCCCCAAATGCCTGAGATATTTAGGCGTCATGGGGTTTATGTATAAAGATTACAGTTGATTTTATCTAAATCTGTTTATCTACATTATCACAGTAATGCAAATAATTACAGTATTCTCTGTGTAGTATTACCTTGAAGAACTACAGAAACGTGCTTACACTCCATCATATAGACAAGCTCAGCAGAATGCTTAAGAAAGGCTCTAGACAGGAAAAGAAAGTGATTTAACAATTAACAGAAATTCACACTCTACAAGAAAAAAATATTTGAGTAATCTATATTTATCTAACTTACATATTAAAACAAACAATCCTTCAACTGCTGCACTGCTCACTTACAGTGCTGAAAGCTTTGAACATTCCACTGAACATTGTTTTATTAATGGTACCAACCTAATGTACTCTAACCAGTGAGTGTTTTCCAGTGAGGACAGCCACTTCTCTTCGGTTTCATCAAAAGGCTCTGCAACAGGGACAGTAATTACATTGCAGAACAACTTCCAGTAACAGTCCCTATCAGCCAGGTCAATTAAAATTCACCTTGTTTTCCTGCATGTCAGGAAAACAATCCCCAGAAAAGAAGGAAAGCCCAGCATACCATTGACACAGAGCTGTTTGAGTTTGATGTGTGCAGCCTGGATTTCCTGGATGTTTGGGAGACACTTGTCCAGGTCAGATTTGTAAACATCACTTCTCAGGGGATGGCTTCGAGTTATGGCATTACAAATCCTGCAGGAGAAGAATCAGCAGGTTTATTGTTGGAGAGAAGAAACAGTCTTTCAGGAAACGTGCCACTGTCTAACTCCAAACAATTAAACACACATAAAGCATGCACCTTGTTCTAAAAAAATGTTTACTGGTTCATTACTGGAGATACATTGCTCCTGCCATAAAGGTACTGACTCAAACATTTTTGGTGTCTGAATGGGTTTCAGCTAAAACTCAGAACTCCAGCCTAACACACAATGCAGGTGTTTGCACTACTAAAAAAAGTCACACTACGAATTAAACCAAAGAACAAAAACCACTAAGCTTGTAAACTACCTACACAAGGCACTAATTGGCTTCAGTCTTTCATTAAGGACAGTGCATGACAAATACTTCACAGAAATACCGTGTGCATTGTGACACTGAATCTACTGAATTGTGTTTCCCAATGCCACAAATGAAGGGGTTTTTTTTTACTGTCTTGCTGAAGGAGGTAAGAAAATCTCCACCAATGTAAGCTGTATTACAGTGAATCTGATCCTTTTATCAATAAATTCTGTCATCTGAATGATTAGCCCCCTAAAAAATAAACATACCTTAAAACCTGAAAAGTTATTCAGTATTTGAAACTGGAATGGCCTTGAATAAAAACTGTGCCAGAAGCAGATCCAGAGAACAGTCTGTTCAAAGTTTTCTCATGGCAACACTGCGTGTCACACAGGGTCACCTCCACTGCCACCCACTGCTGTGTCACACAGCCATCACTGGTGTTATCCTAATCCCCTGAATGAAGAGTGACACAACAAATCATTTACCTTTGATCAATTCTTCGCTGCTGCAATACATCTTTAATGTTGGCCATTCTCACAAGGGCACTTCCGTTAGGGTGATTCCAGGACCATACCTAACATGGGGAAAAAACACAAGAAACAACAAAATCTTGCAGGTTAGAGCTATTCTGTACAATTTTTTTCATTACTGCTATGCACAGAACTCTGTTAATTGGCATGTGCAGCCCCAAGTTAAATACTGTGCCATGACCAGGAGCAAGGACCAGAACAAAGAGGGCACTTACAGGCATTCGCCTCCCAATGAAGGAGTAGGAGTACAGCTTCAGGTCTTGATCTGCTAAGGAAGATGGAACCACAAAATATTCTGGAAGGCTTGTGGAAAAAAAAAAATAAATAAAAAAAGGTTACTTTTCCCTGTGTTTTTTACCATCTTCCCTCTTGCTGCAGTGCAGTGTCACCAGAGCAGCCCCTGGGCGTGGCTGCTGCTGTCCCGTGTGAGGGCTCAGCCACAGCACCAGCACAGCCCCGAGGAAACTGAGAAACTGCATGTCCCACATGGAGTACAGAAGCACCAAAGCAATGCATGCCAAAACATGACATTTCCTTTAGGAACACGACATTGCCTTTAGGGAAGAGACTTGCAGCAGCTTTCACCTGGGGGCCTCTCCAGAGAGCAGCACAATTGAGAGGTGCAGTGCACAGCTGGGTGCAACAGAGGCCGTGGGGCACACAGGACAAGACAGCCCAATTCCCTCCTGCTGGTGTCCCAAGAGACACTTACCAAGTGGAGATCATATAACCTTCATTGACTGAGCACACTCTCCACTCAGATGCACCTGTCCTTTTGATTTCTCTATCCCAATCCGAGTAAGTTTCAAACAAAGGAGTCTGCTGAGCACTGACACTGCCGATGCCACTGCCACCACCTCCTGGGTCTATGCCATTCACCTTCTTTGCTAGGAAAAAGAAAGTCATCAATGCCCATTAAAAAAAAATAAAAATCAAACTCTTCACCTTCCTAAGTACAAAAATAAGCCATTAGCATCAGGACTAGTATTATCTATATAACCTACTGCTGGATTACAAAAAAGTGGTGATTTAATGGCAGCTTGCTGACACATGAAGATGTCAATGTATATTTTCCCTGCAATTTCATTAGAAAGCAACATAAAATTGGCCTGCTGTGCTGCTTGATAGAAGCCAAGGCATACTGGTACTCAGGAAAAAATGTTATCTCTAGTCACAGGCTTTCTTTCTTCAATGTGCCAAAGTTTGCAACATTTTAAATACATGAACCCTTTATAGGCTACCCATTAATAGCTACCATGTCAAGAAAGCAAAATAAAACTTATATAATTTCAGCAACTTTAAATAACTGCTGTATTAATAGAAAATAAAAGAAATGGAAGGCCATGTTAAAATACTGGGGTTTCTATATAGATTTATATCCACACAAAAAGCTAGCATATCATTTTGTGTCTTGGGACCAGGAGCTTAGAGAAGCTGTTACTACACAGAAGGATCTGGCTCTGCTGATCATTCTTTAGATGCCAAGAGGACAGTCAGCTGTGTCAAAAAGAAATTACATTTTGTTTCTTGACACTTGAGGTACATTTTCAGATGGAAGTGGAATAAACTGAAAGTCAGCCCTGTGGCATCCCCCACGAAAGCTCTGAGCCTTAGCAAGAGCCTGCCCAAAGGAAGCAGAACAGCCTCACAGCTCTGCTGACGTCCCATAACTTGTGTGGTTTCTGCTTTCTGTAGCTGCCAACTTCATTCTTGCACTGGCACTCTGGCTAATTAGGACTTTCAGAAGAAAACAGGACTAAAATCAGACTGAAGTAGTTCTTCAAAGATGATAAACAGAGAGATACAATCATTACAAAAAGAGTGAATTTTCCTGTTTAACAGCAGGATATATAACTATCAAATATAGCCTGGGAAAAAAACAATGTACACATACACCAGAGCAATGCAGGCTTTTTATGTTCCTCAGGAAGCACAAAGACAGCATTTCACCTTTACTTTACTGGGAGTAGCAGGGATAGAGAGTCATTAAATAGCACTGGAATTGCAAGAGCAAAGCCAGAGATCTATGGGACAAACACCAGGGCTCACAACAAGAACACCCCAACCCAAAAGAATTTCAAATTCTCTTAGGAACTGCAGCATGGCAGAACAACTCTCCTTTGCCATTCTGGTCTGCTGTTCCAGAGAAACATTTTTACCCACCTTATGTAATTCTTCCACTAGGTATTTTTCCATATAGCAAATGGTATTTTAAAGACAGAGTAAAGGCAACTTTGTGACAGCCCGACATTTTATTGCAATTTTATCCACAAATTGGCTTCCTCCCTAGTACTTTATAACATGAAAATACATGGACCTTAATAATTGCCCAAGCTTTATGAGGTAAGAAATTCCATGTGTAATCATGTGTGCAACATAATCACATGCACACTTATTCTCGTGCATGCACTGGGCAGCCATAGAGGCACCTGGATGAAAACCATGCATTGTTTTGCAAATTTGAAGGCCTGATCTCATATTTCCACAAGGTTCATGTTTTGTAACAGGCAGATCAGTGGTTTCTAGTGGCAGCTGCTGAGTTGAGATGTCAGTACCACAGCTCTGCAGCAGCAGCATGCTCTGTGGGGAGGCCTGTCACCCTACAACTGATGGCTCTTGGCTGTGTCTCGGCTGGGGAACACTCAGCAGTGACCGCACAGCATTACGCTAGAAATCAAGTTCCAAAGGCATCTTTGCAGGCTTACCTAACTGACAAGGTTCAGTTGGAGATTGGCCTTGAGCAGAGAGGGTGTGCTCCAACTCAGCAGGGGTGGTGGAGGTTTTGAGTGGTAAGAACTGCCTAGTAAGCCTCTAGGAAAGAAGGTATGGAGTCCCAAGTTGCACAAATCCTCCTGCAATACCACCAGAAGAGAAACTTATTCCCAAAAGAAGGGCAGGTGAGCAAGCCTGCCTGATGGGACACTCACTGGGTACCCAGAGTACCAACACATACAACAGGAGGATGGAAGCGTGAACTGAGAAACAGGAGTTCATGCTGGCACAGTTTGGCTTTGTTTCAGACAGGAAAGACATTGCTTTGGATTTTGGCCATTAATGTCTATCCCAATGAATGACTTATAACTGTAAGCAAGAGGTTGGGTGCAGAACAAGCCGATTTTGTTACCTTTGGAGAAAGCCTTAAATGCTTTTTGCCACTGCTTCTGGACTGAAATCTTACTAAGAGTACATATTACAAAACAGGAAAAAAAGCACAATCCAAGTACTTTCATCCTTACCTGGATTATGATATATTTCCCCAACGTACTCAAATGCAAAGAGAAGCTGAAGATCCGTTGGCTGAGAATAATGAGCTATTGCAAGGCACACCTAGGAAAGAGACATTTATTACTGTTATTTATATATCTATATAGACAAAAAAAATATTGCCCTTAATTGCAAGAGTGTCAAATATGCAAAGCTGTGAAAAACCTAAAAATCAGTCTTTTGATATTTTCTTTAATGGAAAGAGTACCTCTCAATCCAGCAGAAGAACCTAAGAGCACACAGGGTCACTTCAAAAGGTCCAACCTAGCACTGTTCTGACAGCAGCCAGCAATCAGTGCTTAGGGAAGAGGGGAAAAACACAGAAATACCATAATGGAATTTTACCAAGACAATTTTTAACGATTAGCAGTTCAAGCATGTCCTGAACTAAAATCAAGTATCAGTATTTAACAGCATTTGACAGATATTTCAGCTACAATGTTGTCAGTTGGGCCAGTAGGTTTTTCATGGGTGACTTCCTTTTAAAAAATCTTATTGGTTCTTTCCCTAAGATTATTAAGATTGAGACTGCAGCACATGATTTAGGATTAGATCCTAGACTTAAAATTTCATCAAGCATTTCTAGTCAGTCTCTTTGAATGTAGATACTCACCAATCAATACAAAAGATGTGACAAAAACCCTTATGTCTAGAAGAATCAAATTCAAGAAGAAAAAAGAAAATACTATGTAGACATTGGTGCTATTATTCTTCGAATTTCAGGACATGAATGGAGTCATTAACTTTGTCCTCTTCCCTCAGTATTTGCTTCTGCATTTTACTAAACTGTACCTTTTAACCAGGGACAAAGACATAGCGTAAGCCCACATTCTTACCACCTAAGTTTTTTTATTTTCTGTCTTCCCATCAACTTTTCCCAACTTTTCATATTTAGAAACACATTTTCAAAATTTACTGTGTTTAACAGTTTTAAATATTATTTTTGAAAAATATCCTGTGCATCCAAGAAATTGTTTTCTGTTAGTGAAGGAAAGTGTCCTTATTGTGATAGAACAGAAAGATTTGCACCACAGAACTGAAGGAACACCAGTGCTGGAAGCACTGGGCAGTGGGAACAAAGCTCAAAAGCTCAGTTGTGCTGAGATCTGCATGGAGAAAATTGCTGTATTTTTATTGTTTGTAATGCAATATACATAGTGTCATGGTATATGTATTTTTATATACTTTGGCTTTTGATGGGGACAGTCCTCATTATTTATAAAACCAGTAATGACAGTAGACTAACTTGAGCTGAAAATGTTGTTTCACAAACACTCAACAAAAAAATTCCAGTCGAGTCTTAGAACAACGGTTTCTTTAACTGTTCTCCCCACACTTTCAGTTCTACAGTGAAACTGCAAAGGAAAATAGAGGACAGAACATTCCAGGGGTGACCACCCCGCAAAAAACCCAAACAGTACAAGTGTCCCCTGGAGAACAGTACAGCAGGACTTTCCTAATGAACATTTACAAGTTCATTTCCAGAATTTGATAAAAGTTTTAATGACATAACTGGAAGCCATGCACATTTTACTAAATCTTGTTATTTCAGTGTACAAACCAAAGCAGAAGCAGCCAGCTATTGAACAATATTTGGCTAATTCTAACAGATTACTTTTGGCTATCATTCACAATAAAACAAAATGGAAATGTGTGTATATGCACATTTTGACTTCCATTTTTCTATGTAGCTTTTCACTACAGTAACTGATGCTAGCAGAACTACACCTCATCTTCATTGATGGAGTGAAAGTTGAAAGCCTTTTACTATGCTGATCTACTCTCAAGGCTTCAGGACAAACTGCAGGAAAAAAAAATCCATCATGCTGCCAAATAACACAACAAATACAGTAAAACCTATTTTTAAATAGGCAGCAGCTGAAGTCTCTGTCATTTGCTTGCCACCTTTGAAAAAAGGAGTGTGTGTGCACTGTGTGAAGAGGGATAAAATGGTGGTGGTGGGGAGATAGTAACCATCCAGATCTAGTTCCCCACAAATAATATGAGACCACAGTTGTGCTTTTAAATAAAGCAGGAGCTGGAAAATGCTCTGGGTGTTCCATGGAATAGATGTAACTCACCATGTATTGCATGGGTGAAACAGTCCATCCACAGGTTCAGGACCTCTGTTTCTCTTATTTTAAGAAGTGATGGATTTATCCTGCTATTGCCTCTGTTGTTACATTTTAGAAAAATTCCACTCATACACTAAGCAAGTACTAAAGAAATACTAATTTTCTGTTTATTCCTCATTAAATCCCTATAATAGGTTTATTGTCTCAGAGATTCAGAAGACAAGCACATTCCACAGATCTCAGCAGATTATGGCCATAAGTAAAAGGCTCTAAACTGGAAGACAAACATGTTTTACAGGAAGCGTTCATATCAAACTTAAAAATGTTTGGTATTCTTGCCAATTTACAATTGTGTAAAGCCAAAGATATTTAGGCTCAGACAAAAAACAAGAGAATAGGCTGCTTGTTGGAAAGTTCATTTATTAAAAGCAGTAAACACAATGGCTGTAGTTATTTCATAGTACAAAAGCCATTTCCCTATGTCAGTGTCCCCTGTTCAACCCCTAGCTGAGAAAAATAAATTATACTTTCAGGGCACACCCTCCTCTTCCAACAGGAATTTTACCAAGGGCAAGAGCTTCAAAGTATTGCTAATGCTCTTGCAGAAGAGTTGTGAACAGCAACATTTCAGATGTGCTAAATTAGCACAGCCCTGCATTTTCCCTCTTTCCTTAACCCAGGCTACCTGGCTTGTGAACACTGGAAAAATACTGTTTTCCATTGCTACTGCAATTCCTAGCCCAAGCAGACACCTGTGGTAGGAAGTCATACAGGCAGGACTACATCAAGTTCCACAAAAAGGTTTTGTTCATTTTCCTAGGTTGGAAAAGCTATTGGGAAAAATAAGCATTCAGCCTTAAGAGAATTATTAAAATTCATCTGTATATTTTAAAATACCTTTTACCTTTGCCCAGGGAAGTTGTGGCTGTGGCATCCCTGAAGTGTTCAAGACCAGGACAGGGCTTTAAAAAACCTGGTGTAGTGGAAGGTGTCCCTACCCATGGCAGGGGGGCGTGGAATGAGATGAGCTTTAAGGCCCTTCCAACCCAAACCATTCTGAATCTGTGATTCTGTAAGTTTACTTCTAAAAAAGTTGTCTTCATTCTCTCCAAAGACAGTACATTATGCATTCCCAGTGCCTTGAAACAGTACCAATTTTGTGATCTGTATAAATAATTAGAACAATTAGAACAAGGTAACAGAGTTGGGAGGCAGGAGGAACACATTAGAACGGGTCAGGACTGTTTGTCCAAAACTCTTAAGAGTTTCATATTATTGTTCATAACAATTAGGGAAATAAAATGTTCCCCTCTATCCCAAGTGTTATGACGTAGGAAAGGCTACTTTTGATTGCACAGGAAACAAGATTTGAGATAAAAAATTTTCCTTCTGTTTTGATCGAGCATGTGATTCTGAAACAGCTCTTATTCAAAAAAGCCTCCTGAAGGAAAAGAACTGAGAGAGCTGCAGAAGAGAAGGGGATAAGAAGATGGAGATATACTCATGAAGGCACAGGGGGTGTGCCACTCCAGGGCACTGCCAAGATCCATGTGCATGGTGAGGCAATCAACACTGGCCATCACCTAACAGTCAGAAGATCTACAGCCTCACCTTTTAATACATTTTATTTTCTCAGTCTAATGTCAAATGCTGCAGTGCCTAACAAATAGCAGGAGTTTACATTTTGACTGTTTGCTGTCATTTTTGGAACAAAATAATTCCTTTCCTCTAAGGAATGTGAAATGCTCCTTTTTTTGCACCGCCTAACTTAAGACTTCCCCAACTTGCTTACCCTTGCTTCCCCATCCTCCACTTCCTCCCACACCCATCTGGCTTTCCTTCCTTTGGAGGCTCTATTGCTTTATTTTAGAGACAAAACAAAATTAAACTGCTAAACAGTGATGAGTGCAAATTTCCATTCCTTCTATTTTTCCTTAACGCTTGTTTCCCAAATATCCACTAATAAAAATGAGGAAGAAAATATTTACCTGGCTGGCTAATGCTGAGACAGTATTTTATTAGCATGTCTTGGCTGCAACAAGTACTGAGGGTATTTTTCTAACAGAACTGATTTTTAAGCTGCTCCATAATAAATTACCTGAAAATAAATGAATGTGTTCTCATAATGTTTATGCTCAGAGGCAAAGAAAAACGCCTCTGAAAGTTCTGCCAACATTAGCCACGTATCTACGTGTAGTCAAGTCTGTCAGACTGTCCACATCAGAAGCCTGCTTTCAAACTCGGATTTTTCAAACTTCTTTTCACAGCATCCAAAAAGATCCTTGGAAAGAGGATCTTTCTGAGATCTCAAGGAGAGACTTGGAATAATCTCTATTCTAGTAAGGAAGCTTAATTGGTTATTCTCCCTTATGTCCTGCTCAGCAAATAGAGACACTTCCTTAGGAACAGATTACACTCTCTTTGCCAAAACCAATTTATGTCACTGGATGCTGCTGAGTATTTCCAGTACGTGCAAGGAACTATGTTTGAAACAAATTACTAAACTGCATAAAGTTAGCATCTGTTGTCCTAACTATTCCATATAATTAAAGCTTGTTTTGAAACATTAATTGCCATGGGTATTGTTTTATGTAACTATTGCTATAAACGGAACATTTGCAATCATCTGGCAACAAGCAGAGACATTTATACTCCTGTATTTTAAAATGCAGGTAGATATTTTGTTTTGACCTACCAGGGCTTTATTTATTTACAGAGTGCTACTCCTGTGTATTACTAAGATGATATTTAATTACAGCCTGATCTAATCTTGGTAAGCCTGAAGAGAAAGGTATCCAGAGCCCCAGTGACATGGTCAGTCCTCTCCCAGGACTGTATTCTCCCAGTCTGACAGCAATGCACCCTCAGCCCAAGAGCAGGCTTCTCCTCACATCACAACTCAGTTACACTTTAAGTCTTGTTCTTTCCTACTTAAGTTATGCACACACAGCTATTTTGAAGTAGACAGCTATCAGAATTTTCTTGTACAAACAGTTGGATGTAAATATAGATAAAAGAGGCCTTTCAGAACTTTAGCCTGATCACTGTCTTCTGTTTTTAAACATCAGGACAGTCTTGCTAATATGTACTACCTGGAGGGCAGGAACAGAAACCAGATAAAATCTTTCCATACTGTGATGCCAGCATGCCATCTAAATGCCAGAAAGAACAAAACACCTCCATTCAATATGCTGTGTAAGACCCTCTAGATGTGTTCACCAGCATCCCAAAACAATTTAACCAAAATCCTGATACAGGAAAACTGATCTAAGGATCTCATGGTTCTATACATTTATATTTTAATGTTAACAGAATAATGTTATGGAAACATTAGATTAGACTAGCTGAACCTGATTTCCCTTCAGCAACAGAGCTTCTGTGCTACACCCACACAAAGCTGCGTGCATTGAAACCTACCTGATGCATTGAAACTGCAACAGTAACCACACAGCTGATATTTGTACAAGCTTTCTTCCTCTCCACTAATGAGCACATGCTGGTATTTGAAAATGGCAGTTACATTTTTGGTCATCACCAGCTTAAGTTCTATAACCACACAAGCTCTGCTTCTCTAGACCTAGCTCTTCTTCCTGTCAAAAGAAACCACCTAAGACCATGTAATTATAAATGCCTAATGTAAAGGCCTTCATAAAAGGGTTTCACTGTTTACTCTCACATAAGAAAACGCAGCACAAAGAATGTTAATGAGATGCTGAGTTTATTCTCTCCTCCTCCAGGCTAATCACTCTTCTTTGCTGTGACAGCTGATTAGGAACAGTTGCTGTAAAGATATTACAGGAGATGGCTGCTCCAGGGGGGTTTTGGAGGAGCTGTGCAGGTGAATGCCCAGACTGCCAAACGTGGAAGGTTCCAAGCAGCACAGGCAGCAGGCAGGGGGGCAGCCAGAACAGGAGCAAGGGCAGAGCAGGGTGGTTCATGATGGGCTCCTGCCCACACATCTCTGCGAGGTTAAAGGGGCTGAGCCGGTTCAGCAGCTCTCGGTCACTAACTGCACACAGAATTATGCCTGGGCAGATGGTCCTTGGGACTTACGGGGCTAAACTCAAACGTGATCCTACTGAGGAGGGGAACTGTTAAGCTCTCAGAGCAAAGTGGGTCACTCCTTACGAAACAGAGGTCAGGGGAGCCGGAGCAGCACGGGCAGCGGAGCATTGGGAACGCCGGGCACCAGAGCCCCACTGCGCTGTGACCTGCGGCTGCACAGGAGGAAACCTCCAGGAACCCACAGACCCAGCCACTCCTCCCGACAAGAGGGGAACGAGCCTTTGCTAACAAAACGTTGAGAAAGAGCCCAGGCTCATGTAAATTGGACAAAATGGTGACTCCAAGAGGAGAACTTGCTGTGTGACACCATTAGGGATATCCATAAGGCAGTACAGTCAATCTCTGGATAAATTAAACTTATGACTTTCAGAAAATGTATAAAAGCTTGAAACATTTTCCATAAAAATGCAAACATCTGTTGTACAGATGTAATGCAACATTCTGATTCCAGTCCTTAAAAATATTTCTTTAATAAATTAATAACTTTTATAAGTACAACAGATATGACAAGAGATACTGTTTATCTTACATGATACTAAACAGTTAATACCTCACATTAAATTTTTCCCTTAATAGATTTGAGTCTAAATATCTGGATATTCTCCTGTAACAGAATATGAATAATTTGCAATTCTTCCCCCCACTTCTCTATCAAAACATAATAATACAAAATGTTCTTATCAGCACAGCAGCTTCTATATGTAATGACTACAAGGCAGGAATTCGTAACAGGATAAAAATACCTTTTTTGCACTTTCAGGACCTGCTTCATCAAAACGAAATCTGACAATACGGAAGTCTTTGCAATAAATTATTAATTCAGTTGGATTAAATTTAAGTTTTTGGTTGGGACCCAGGACCTTCTGCTTCCTCTTGGTGTCATTCACTGCAAAGAAGAGACAAAGTTATTGGACTGTGTTCTGCAAGGAAATACAAGATTGGCTCAAACAGATACAGTAATGTTGCTATCAGAATTTTTTTATTGGCACATTTTGATTCAGGTAGAAAATCTGTTAAATCCTGTTAGTAAAAGCTTATGTTTCACTAAACTTAAGGTAAACCTCATGTTTTAGAAAAGGGGCAACAAATGTCGGCTAGTGCAAGACAATATAACGGGTCAATAGGATCTCTGTTGTAAAAAAACCATACAGTTTCTTCATTGTGTTATTCCTCAGAAACACATTAATATTTTCACAGTGATCATAACCAACTTTGGGCATTGAAAACTTATAACCAATAATTTAATTACCTACAGTCAGAAAACTAAGTGTTTAGCAGCCCATGCCATAAACAAAAATTGAAAAATTATCACTTTTATGGAATTTTACAATTACAAGATGAAAAACATTCTTAACAAACAGGTTAGTCTAAAGAATCCAACAAATCAAAACCTGGTTCTACACAAGAAGTATTTTTTTTCTTCAGATTAAGCTGTCGATTGCCATTTGCAGAGTTTTGGAGGTCACCAGCTATTGACTTGCTAAGAATTACAGAGGATTGAAAACAACAGCATTTCTCTTGTCAGAGATCCCAACTGTGTCTAACTGTATATGTACTTTTTGCAATCTAGTGTATTTCAGTGGCAGAGATTCAGTTGATTCAATGTAAAAATGCTGCTCACAAAGTTCTGTACTGCTATAACGTGTCTCACAACATCTGTTGATTCAGAATGGCAGTTATAAATAGAAAGACCCAACTGAGTCTCCTGCATGGCACCTCAAGATTTATTCAGCATTTGAGGTTTTCATCCTAATTTTAAATAAACCAAATACTTCAAATCAGGGAAGATTAATGACATAAAACCTCAAGTGTCAACAATTCTGCAGAACTTAACAGTTTTGTACTGAATAAGAACAAAGCCTGTTCTTACACTGAACTATTTTTGACATACCTGTGACAATCTGCTCAATGCATGTGAGTGGGACATCGTGTTCACCAAGGAGGAGGTTTTTATAATGGAATTTCTGAAACACATGAACTCACAGCCATTAATTGCAGTTCTGCAGTTTGCAACCAGATATACAGAACAACTTTGAAGAAACTACGATAAATATCAGGCATGCCTAGGCTTTTCTGACAGGTACCACCCTTGTCTATTCCCAGGTAATTAGAAGCTGCTGAACTGCACACCCAGCAGTTTAGAAACCCCTGTGGAATATGCAAAATAATCTCCCTATTAGCACTGAATTTACTGAATTAGTATCAGAAATTACTCTCAGAAATTCAATACAATTTGAAGCATAATATATACATATGTATATACGGAATATAAGAAATCTGCAATTATTATTACTTTCATAAGCATAGAAAGAAAAAAATATTAGTTCTACTTTCAGGGACAAGTTTTAACAACTACTTTGTTGAACAGCACTTTCGAGGAGGAGCATATCTGTGTATAACCCCTGCTTTGCCTTTTGTAGAAACACTTCCCAGGAAAGCCTCCACACACGGAGGTGAATGGAGCTGGATGTACTTCTGTACAAATTTGCTCTTGTTCTGATATGAATGGATGGAATAGCAACACATTCAGAACAGGACAGTGGAACCTCATCCTGTAGCCTGCTTAGAAGGCATCCATTAATATCAGATATGAGACAGACTGACTGTGTGAAGAATTTCACTTTTCACATTCGTGATGCACCCATGTGAGCAATAACCAACCTGCAGTGGCATCAGGTCATCCGTAATAAAGGAAATCTTGAAGTTAGTGCAAACCAACTTGCCCCACAGATCATACTGGCTTGTGTCTGTTGCAATGCATTTTCTTACAAAATTTACTTCGTTCACCACAATTTCACCTAAAACAGAATAAAGGGAGGGGAAGGGAGAAGCCTATATAAATCCTGTAGGTACAACAATTCTAAGTCTGTAGTACCAAGGAAGCCCTAACTCTTTACCAGTTTCAAGTTATCCACCTCTTCTGGGTAAACGTGGAGTTTAACTCACACCATTCCAGGGGAAAGAGAAAACTACCATTCCAAGATGGACAATATTGTGCAGTAGTTAAAACAAAACCCAAATCCAACAAAAAAAACCAACCAATTTAAAGCCAAAAACAAAACAAACCTCAAACAACAAAAACCAAAAGAGACCCTACAAGAAACCCAACCCACAGTCAAAACTACACACCACTTCCCTTAGACAGAGAGATCAAGATCTGCAACTCTCCACTATTAAAAATTCATTGGTTTGAACAACAGTGTCCTTTAAGCAAGCATACATTCCTGTACTTCAGCTAGCATTTATTTTAAAAACTGAAATTAGCTGGCTATTGTTAAGTGCTCCAGAGAATTTTATGAACTTCCTAAATTCAGAAGAATCATCAGGCCACATCAAATTTTCCATTTATAGAGACATTTTCAGGTGAATTCAAAAAACAGAATACAAACACATTTCCAGCTTTTTACTGTGACTGTCTAATGAAGGAGACATTTTCTCTGTTTCCTTAATAAAACAGAAGATCCAAATGAAGAAAAAAATAAATTATGCTAGTTTGTCTGGCATAAGCTATAAAATAAAAAAAACATATAGACAAATGAGATTGAGGACCATTTAAAAGGAAAAAGTAAATCACTACACAAAATGATACTTTTCAGTTCCACAGCCAAGATTTCTGAAAGGTAAACAGTAACTCTTCCTTCAGTAATCTAATTTGGTAATTCCTTTTATTCCCATACAGGGTTTTCACTTCTGTCATCAGATCAACCACCTCCTGCTGCTGCTGTCTACCATAAATAGTGTGGGAGTACAAGAGTGTTCCAAGAAAAGTGTAATTTCATATTGGCGCTGAGATTTTGCTTAGAAGAAACTAAGGATTAAAGATTGCTGGAGCCGAATTTGCTTGTAATAGGTTTGGCATGTTTAGTTCCAGTTGTCTGAAATGCCATCTCAGAGTCATGCTTTGCAAGGGAACAGCAGCTCTTTGGGCAGCTGTGCTGGCAGGAATCAGTGACTGCACGTCCAAGGAGTATAACCACAGTCTGGAATAAATTCCCCATTTATCTCCTGCTGTCGAGCAGGTCTTTTCCTCAGGTTGTTATCACTCCAGGCAAGTAATTGTACCTTGAAGTGTCCCAGACACTTGAGAGAAATGCACCTTTTGCTGTCTCAAGGCCCAGTCCCTGCACATGCTCCTCATCCTGGGCCATTTCACCCAGCTGTCCTACTGGTCCCACTGGATCTCTTGCTCCTGATCAGGGATCTCCCTGCAAGTCACAAGAGCAGAAGCAGCAGCATCTCTGCTTTTGGCTCAGTTCTTCAGCTATAAAATTGTCTTGGTCTAAGTCTGTAGCCTTGAGCTGTTAGAATTATGATCTATGTTCTGGGACTGCCTGAAGATGTGAGGAGACAAGTTTCATTGACCTGTGTTATCATATACATGAATATTCTATGTCAGAAGTGTCAGAAGTGGCAGGAACTGTGAAAACGTCTATAAACAGATCTGGAGCTTTAAAGTCTTTCCTCAAACAGTGCTAAAATGTGCTTAAATAAGCTTTTGAATGTAAAAATAAAAAATATGATTCTGACAGCTTCAGTACAAATGGTTAAAAGCTCATCCAAGTCCACAGGAGCTGAAAACAATATCTTATAATGGGATACATGAGAATGACAATCTCTACTTCTGTTAAATATTGTAATGAATATGTTTCAATACTTAGCATGGTCTGGCCTGAAACTTCTTGATGCCCAGCATTTCTTCAAATAATCTATTTACTTAAGTAACTGCAAAAGCCTAAACCATTTATTAAAGCAATTTCTCCTCAGTGTTGGTATTAAGTCTTCAACTATTCAGTGAAGGTCTAGGTCACCCCCTGTGTAAGAAGAAAAACAACCTCCCCACAAACTGAGTTCTAAGTAATTTTTATTCCTCTCTCTCCATATTGTCAGTGTATCACTGCATTTCTAATAAAAAAATATGGAGAGCTAAATACACCACGAAGTGAGATGCAGCTTCCATAGTTGCTTTTTTTTTTGTAACATTCATTTATCTGTTACAAAGTATTATACTTTTTTACTATGACATAGGAGACACTTCTAAAAACAACTTACTATTATCAAACTATTTCATTACTTCATTACTTTGACATAACCAAACAGTAAAGAAATTAAATACATTCACACATCTTCAGTTTGAATTTCCTACAATTTAAAACATGCCTCCTACATAATTCTCTTTCCAAAGCCAGTCCTTTTTACTCCCCTTCTTAATTCCACATAATTTTGTAGCTACACTGCAACATGTTAATTCTAATCTTATTTTAGTGCAACTGCACTTAGTTTCATTTCATCCAACAGAATACATTCTATATTTTCTGGCCTAGCTTGTCTTCTGCTCTCAGGTTTACAGCCCTAACACAGAACTGTCTGTTTTCAACACGAGGATTAAGGTATGGCAGGACAGAGAATGTGTGCACACCAACTTCAGCCAAAGCATGTGAAAGTTTGCTAATTTAATAGATGCAGTTTCCAAACACCTCTAGAAATTGTTTTGGGTTTTTTTTGAGATGCAGGCTTTGAATTTTATGTGCCCCATCATTTGGACATCTATAATGAGCAATATAAAAAGGAGCAAAGCCTTCAAAATAAAAATTTATGAAAGTAGATAAACAATGTGAGTAGTAAGTGCAGGACTTGCACAATGAACCCTTCTTGTGTTTGTAGTTGAGTAGGTGATTTCTTCTACACAAGACAACAACAGAGCTATTCAGAGATATTACACTGCACATTTCTACAACGTAGCTGCTGCTTTTTTCCAGTAAACAACCACAAGCTCTTCCAGACACAGAACAGCAGTCAACACTTCCATGTGACTCCAAGAGTCGAAGTATGATCTCAGGAGACAAGAGCAGTTTGTTTAAACTTTGACAGGAAACCAGAAGAGAAATTACAGGTTGCCATCCTTACATAGAAAGCCTAATCATCTTTAATGAAAATATTTCTACACTGAACACACACATCACAAAAATAACAGGAGATACTAGGAGATCTATTTAGCTAATACACCCTCCACCTAATTAACACACAGCCTCAAAAACTGTTAAACTTCAGAAAAAATCTGCTAAATCTCCCAAAAGCCCATGCAATCTACAGCTTCATATTTTGGATGCTAAGAGAATTCACGGTACGTGTCTAATCCACCATAATGCATAACCCATTACAATCAAAATAAAGAGCTGACAGCAGAGCCTGGGAATACGTGGAGCTGGCAGAGGCAGGACTAACCCTGCTGAGCAGAGGATGAGCAGGAGGGAGCACTGGACAGAACAGGTGTGCTCTGCCCCAGCCTGCAGCCACACCACTCTGCACCCGGCTTTGCGGCAATTTGCTTCCTCCAGATTTGAAACGCAATCCCTAGCCACTAACCTCCTAAAATAAAGGATGTTCTACACCATCTCCACTACAATATTTTTGCAACTTTTGGTGGCCTGCCTCACAGGATCAAGTTTAAATTTTTTTTGTTTAGCTTATAAAGGTAGAAATTTGTCACTTTTCAGGGAAGAAGGCTGATTTGGGTAGCATCAAGGACCACAACCTTATTAATGGAGAAGTGTTCAACAACTCTAACTGAACACAACAATGCTGTGCAATAAAAGGAACTGAACAGTATTTTATATATACAGACACATACACAGATGAATACATAGAGAGATGGAGCATGGCACACATACATATATACCCACCTTAAAATGCTAACAGAGTATTTTTATCACATTAAAAACCTGATGCTTGCTAGAGGCAATGAATGGCTGAAATCATACTCCATAAATTAATAATGCAAATCCTACAAACTCAGAAAGTTTGCAGCTACCCTACACACTCCTAAGGCAACTTTCTCAATGCTGTACAAGAGTAGATTGATCAGCATAAACTTCCTTTAATGAGCACTGAAGCTCTATGGATATGTTTACTGTCTAACAGACATAAACATAACAGAGGTTATTAAGTACTTTGTGCAGTCATGTAATTTCTACTTAAACCCATAAAAAACTAGAACCTGAATGCACTTAGGAAATTCCTGCTTCCCATTTACAATGCTGATAGTGATTATACCCAAGTAAGACAACAGAAAACCAGCTTGTTTACATGAAAGATAGTCTTAGAAGTTCACAATAGAAAAGCTCAAGTTAATTCAAGTAGCCATTTAACTGTTAAGAATGCACAATAATGAGTTCACTTGTAAAATATTTGGCAAATAATTAACTTTTGGAAATTCTCAAGTAAGAATTTCCAATAAAAACTTCATTAATAAGTAACTGAAATCTACAACATTTTTGTCCCTTTATCTGCTCTCTTGTGGAGAGAATACCAAAATTGTAAGAGTTTATTAGTATGCGCCAAGCATTTAGATGTAAATGTCTCTAATCCACTTCTAAATGAATCTTCTGTTCAGTGTGCTCAGGCACTTCCAAACTTAAGAAAAAAAAGTATTTGTAAGCTCATGAAATAATTGTCTCTCATCTATTTTCTGATTTTCATGAGCTCTTGCAAGGTTGTTCTAAAAGGAGAGCTCAATTCTGTAATTATTGGGGAACAAAAAGCAATTTGCATTAATTTTTAATAAGAGAACTTGAGATTTTTACCAAAGAACAACTCTGACCATTGCTTGGAGAGTGGTGTGCTATAAATGCACAGTACGAAAGGAGCTTGCTTTGCCAGTCTTTTTAGAAAATTGATATTAAAATACCATATATGAATATTTTAGTTTCTCTAATATGGCAAGAGAAAAAAGCTTAGATAATTTTTTTAAGTGCTCAGTAAGGAAAAGTAGCAAAAAAATAAATGCTTCCCAGTAACTCTT